TTCCTCATTAAAATCAGAAAGAGATTCAGCCGCGGCAATGGCTTCGTCCACAGACCTCACCCCACGCCGCTGCAACTCCTGTTTAGCCCATCCTTGGAGCCCATCCACGAAATGAAACATCAACTCTTGGTCGGACAGATTTGGAATCTGCAATGAGAGAGTAGTGAAATCCTTGACATACTCTCGGATTCTACCCCTCTGTCGAAGTTCCCTCAACTTCCTCCGTGCCTCATATACTACATTCTCCGGATAGAACTGCCGCTTAAGTTCCTTCTTGAACTCATCCCACGTGTCTATCTGACATGTGCCCCTCTCGATGTCACCGTGACACCTTCGCCACCACAGCATCGCCGTATCCGTGAGGTAGGATGTGGCCGCCTTGATCTTTGCCAACTCATCGTTAAGACCAAGGTTATCAAAGTACTGCTCCATCTACCATAGGGAAGTTCTCAACTTCCTTGGCATCCCTTGAGCCATCAAAATGTGAGGGTCTCGGAAAATCCACCCTTCCCGAGCCAGAGTTGTTGGTACCTCCATTGGCAACCGCCTTCTTACACAATGCGAGATCTTCTTGCATCGCCTCGATGTTCACCTTCAACGACTGGAACGCCCCCATCATTGTATCCTCTAACTTGGTGAATCGACCATCGATCCTTCCTAAGTCATTCTTGACTTCCTTCACCTCGTTGAACACTGTGTTCTCGAGTTCAGAAACCGAGTGTTCGACTCGCTCTAGTCGTTCACCCATATCGGTAATGGTTATACCCATATCGACCTCGTCTCGAAACTTGCTCTTGTTGCGCCTCCTCCTGGTAATGTTCGCGTCAAGGCCCTTCTGGTCCTCACCACCATTGTTTCCCCTGAAAACATCCTCGGTGTTAGACATCGCTCAGCCCTAGAACGAAACTCGCTCTGATACCACGTGTCACGGACTTGATATTTGGGATCAAAACCGTGCGGCCCTAGCCTCTCTTTGCCCCAGCAAATAGACTAGGCAGCCTGACTCACAAGAAAACCCGACCCTTTTTAGACAGAACTTGAAAGAAAGAAGGGAAAATGCTTAAATAGCTCTCTTATTCAAGAAATGAGTGAGTGATTACAAATGAGGGATCCCACCCCTATTTATACAAAAACATCTCCAAGATAGATGGTGAGGACCAACTTGGTCTAAGGGCTCATATTGAAGATATGGTCTTAACTACAAGATCTGCAACTAATGAGGGCGGATTTGTAGGGATTTGGGCGGATTTGTAGGGATTGATGGGTTGACTGAGCAGATTCTTGGGGATTGCTTCTATCTTCAAGGATCCTCATAATTGCCATCAACCTTCTAGAAGTCCTTACAAAGCCAGCCAACGTGATAATCTCCAGTAGAAGGTCTGGCCCAAATAGATGCTATGCAAAATGGGCCGTGACATTGTGCTTAAGTACTTAACACCACATTGATGGGAAATTGTCCTTTTGGCTATGCATGGAAGTTTGAGTTAATTTTAGTTCTATTGCACAAGTGATTAGTAAACCTAGCATAGGAAAATAGATGTCTAGCATGCTTTTTGGCTCTATGGACTTTGACCTACATGCTTGATGATTAAGTGTTTGAGTAATGGGAGTTATCTTGAATATGTGATTAGATAAGGGATTAGTACTGAGGAATTGGGCTAGTCTATATCAGTAGTCGTTGCCTAGAGATTAATGCGTTGATTATTTCTTCCACCTTGATCATGATTTAAATTCACCTTGTTATTCATTAGTCTTGAACCTCTGTTTTCTAGTTTGCATTTCTTGTTTTAGGTTGTTAGATTAAATTCTCCTTTCTTTGATTAGGCCTAGCTTAGCAAGTTTTATGCATCTTGATTGTTGTTTAGCCTCTGGATTGGATTGATAACCTCTTGTACTTCAATGACATGATCTTAGACTTGAGGAATTGAGTCACAAGACCTAAAACCTATTGTATCAGTAGTATGAAACATGACATAGCATACGTTTGAATTGCCGTAGCCCCCGATTTAATGAGGATTTCCTTGCCCCGTTTTGATAGTAATCTGGATGTCCAACTGTTTACTCGTTTTTGTTGCCATTCGAGAAGAAAATTAGAAATCTTCGTCTTTGCCCCCGCCCCCCTACTTTTCGGTATCCACAGATATGTACCCATTCCTCCAACATTTGTAATCCCCAATATATTGTGAACCATTGCTCTCGTATTTAGTTCTACTATATGTCCGAATTGTAACGATGATTTGTCAAAATTTATTTTTTGTCCTGAAACTGATTCATACTGGTTGAGGATATGAAGCAGAACTTTAGATTCTTCCAGACTGGCCTTACAGAAGAATAGGCTAGCATCCGCGAAGTGCATATGAGAAACCGCTGGGCTAGCCCGAGCAATCTTCATTCCCGTATTTAGTTTGGCTGCCTCTGCCTTTCTCAAATTTCGAGATCAGGACTTCCATACATAAAATAAATAGGTATGGAGATAAAAGATCCTCTTGGCGTAATCCCCATTTAGGTTTTACGTGCCTCCGAGGGTGACCATTAATAATGACCTTATATTTAACGGATCTAATGCACCACATGAGCCACGAAATCTAATTATCCGCAAACCGCATCTTCCTAAGTAAGTATTCAATAAAAGGCCATTCAATGCGATCATAAGCCTTACTCATGTCCATTTTAACTGCCATAAAATCTTTCTTACACGATTTATTTGTCCTGAGACCATGAAACATCTCTTGTGCTATCAGAATATTATCCGAAATGAGTCAGCCTGACACAAAAGCTGATAGAGTCTCTGAAATCAACTTTGGTAATAAACATTTTAACCGTTGGCACAACACCTTAGAAGTAATTTTATAACCCACATTGCATAGACTAATGGGTCATAACTCCGTCATCTTGGTAGGTCGATTCGTTTTTGGGATAAGACATAGATTTGTTGCATTTAAGCTTTTATCAAAGGAGCCTGTAAAGAGAAAATCATTTACCATTGTAACCATGTCATCCTTTATAATATCCCAAGATTTCTGAAAAAAACAACGCAGTCTTGACTTCAAGCTCTGTTGCTGGCTTAACCAGTTCCATGTTGTCTGTTTCTGTGATCACCGATGTTATTTCTTAGCAGACATCCTCAAAACTGGATGGTAAGATTAACGTGAACAAATCATTAAAATACTCCACAACAACCTTTTCCACCTTTTTTTCCCTCCCACCCAAACACCTTGTATATCATTGAGGCCCACAATTCTATTAATCGGCTGTCTTTGCTCAGCGGACGCATGATAAAACTTAGTATTTAGATCCCCACATCTGTTCCACATGTTCTGACTCTTTTGTTGCCAGAATAATTCTATATCCCGGTATGTATTTTTGAGTTTATTTGTTAACTCATTGAGCTCCTCCTGTGATATCCTAGCGTCGTTCTGCATGTCATCAAGTAATTTCTGTAGCTCTTCTATTTTATCTCATGCCGGCACGTGTTAATTTTATCAACCACGTTCCGACCGGTTTCTAGGTGACCATGCTGCCATCCCCGTGTTATTACCTCCATTAAGCCTTTTTGTCCAACCCATTTTTTGTCAAACCGGAATTGTCTTTGGCGTTTAAATATTTTTGAATCAATTGTAGCCATAGTAGGTCGATGATCGGACCCAATCATTCACAAATTTCTACATATGAGAATGGAAATAAATCGTGCCAGTCTTCCATTGCAAAACCCCTATCCAATCTACATCTAACATTCTGTCCATTGCATCTGCCCTTCCACGATAACGTATTTCCACGGTTCGGAAAATCAATCTCACATCAATAATGGGACTAACCATAAGGGAGTTGGTAGTATCCCCATTGGGGGGAACTTATAATCAACAATCGTAGTGTTAAAACTGTGAAAAGAAGATGCAGACCGAAGAATTCCTCCTTGCTTTTCATGGTTACCCGATTAAAATCCTCAATTAAAAACCAAAATTCTGATCTTGTTATACTTATCGGAGTTAATCTTTCGCATACTTGATCTCTTAATTTTGGGATTGGATCTCCATATACAAAAGACATAAAAATTGTTTTCCTGTCAAACCGTGCCTCAATATCCATAAGCATTTTATTAGCAAACAATAATGTAACATGAAAAGTTTTATTACAAAATAAAGAAAAACCTCTGCTTGCTCCACACGGCTCAACCGTGAACAACAAATCAAATCCAATATAAAATTTCAATTGTTCTACAGATTCAGAACATTGTTTAGTCTCACAGAAAAAAAGAAAATCTGGTCTAAATTTTCTCCAAATCTCCCTAAAATAACTTATTGTGTACCTAGTACCCAAGCCTTGGCAATTCCAACTTAAAACCCTCATTAATCAATACCTTGATTTTCCAAACCGTCATCATTGCCTACAAACCTCCGTGAAAGCAAAGCACCTTTGTCTCCAGCCCTCTTTGAATCTTGAGGAATCCCTTTCTTCTTTGGTGTAACCGCATGGATCAGCAGCTTTGAATAACCCCCTGTCGCATAAGCTCCCTTGAAGAGCTTCTTCTTCGCTCCATTCTTAACCGGGAGTTTAGGTGCATTATGTGCCTGTTTTTTCTCCATGAAAACAGCACCCACATTCTCCTTGCCCACTTCTGCTTTAACCATTGAAACCTCAGTCTTGGTAGTATCCTTCGGGACCTCGAGCAACCGTAACGCTGCCTCATCCATTCCCTCGGTTGCCATCTCATTATCTTCTTGATGATAAAAACCCTCGCTCGTGCTCAACATATCCGAGAAAGCACCAAAACCTTCGATTTGTAACTGAGCATAATCCTCTGTATTATCAAAACCTTCCTCCATTACATCCTCCATAGCCACCCTATGGATCATAGACCCCAAGTCATCCATCCCAAACTCCACCTCCTCAAAATCCATTCCCTTACGAACCTTCTTCGCTGAATGTTGAGATGGACTGTTTAAATTTCGTGAGTCCAGCACATTCGAACTCCCCGTGAGTATTGCAGCTTCTGGCTCCTTCTACTTCTGTGTTAACACATTGTTCCCCCTAGAGATTCCCCGGGAAGAACCCCTGAACCGCTGTCGCATTTCCTTTGGCGGAAAGACCCTACCTGGTTGCCGGGGACCTCCTGATTTGTCACCACCAAATCTGGTTCCATAAGTTTGACCGTTTCTCCCCTCTTGATACTCTGAGACCTTCCCTTTCCCTTTTCCTTGCACCGAAGCTTCCGTTGACAGTTGCAGATCCGAAACAGAACCTAAAGACCCCATCTTATCCTGTAGGGCCCCTTTGTAACTTGCAGCCTCTCCCTGATTCCTATCATCTTTGTAACGATGCTTCTCTTGCCTTTCTCTCTTTGGGTACAAAAGCGGGCACTTCCCCGAGTCATGGCAAGGACTATTGCACTCTCTGCAGAAAGCGTACAGCCTTTCAAACCGTAGCTTTACCATTGTCTCAATGCCACCCTGAAACTCCACAATCGTGTTGAAAATCAGAGCCTTGAAAGCATCGATCCTGAGTTGTACCCTGCCTCCATCAAGATCAATAACTTGGACTTCACCAATAGCCTCTCCAATACTCATGAAGCTTGTGTCAACCCAGAAATGCAATGGCATCCCCATTATGTAGACTCAATATGTCAGCAGAGAAGGATAGTTTGGTTCCATCGATGGTTCCCATCGCACAAGTACAATCGTCCATTCATCAAAGTGGAACGGCTCCATTTGTAGGACAGCAATGATGTCTTCTTCCTCATCAAAATCAAACTGAAAACGCCCAATGACGAGATCCGCACCAGCTACTCGATCCTCCACCTTTCATATTCTTGGGAGCATGTACAAGAGGGAATTTATATCCTGGATCACCGGATTCATGCACCTTCCAATCAGAGTTCTGGAATAACCCCTGATCAACGCCGTGTTGTCAAAACTGGGGACTGTGATCTTTAGTTGTGGGGCTAACGTTGCCATGCTTCTAGTGCCACTACCACTGGAGCCAAGTTGACCTGCTTAAGACACCATTTGAAACGAGCCGAAGTGAAAAAGGGCTCTTTGAAATGAGGATCTTAAAGAAAGACAACCATTGAGATATGCAATAACAGGTCCCATGGTAACACCCTTTATATGATCCGTAAGACTCGTATTTCCCCATTTGCATATTTTAACAAATCCGTGAAATCCCCCAAATTGCTCAATCAATCTCCAACAAAACCGTAAATCCAGAGTCACAAAAGGACATGATACCTTTGAAATTTTCCTTATCTGTCGCTCAAGAATCAGTCTTAATCCCCATATCTTCGGATCTCCCAAACCGTCCTCATACGAACCATTAGGCTTTGGATTAACAATTATGTCAACCCCATATCTGCAACATGTTAACCTTTCCTTAGTCTTTTTAAATGTTGAGACCCGTATCAACATTAACTCACCAGTAAGCATAATCATTAGCGAGATATGGAAACCAATTTGTTTCCCACTATAGCGAGAGATTAAATCCCGTAATTGTGGGCTAGCAAGCCAAGATTTTGTACCCACAGCATCATCCTTATCGGCGAAGACCCCTAGTTTCAAAAATTTGAGAGTTTCCTTGGTCTGTGTGAGCTGTTTATCTGGATCGATAAAGTCTCCCCATATGCCTCGAATCCGACGTCTCTCCGTATAACCATCTTGATTCTGTCTATATCCATCCAAGCGAGGTGGCTTATAGGATTCGGAATCCATCAGTCTTCTCGCAATCCTCAAATATACCCAATCGTGTCGATGTGTGTTCCCTAGATCGCCGGCCCATTCCATTGCAATGTTGACCCAAAACTGCGTCGTTGGACTTCCCCGGAGGAGTCTTTGCAAGCCATCCCAGAGCATCCCATGAACACCAGGAGCCGAGATCCATAAATTGCCTTCACTCACTTGTAATTCATCATCACCAAACTCTGAATTTGATTAGTAGCACCCAATAAGAACCCAATTCTCCATCGACAGACTTGTTTCGCAACCCCTAAATCGCCATTCACCTCTTTGCCTCAAGAGAATAGCGATGGTTGTCCAATTCTTACAATTAGGTCTCGCATACCATAGCAAACCAAAGGTCTCCCCAGATCAACAATCATAATCCCAGAAATCCCTAAGTCTCCTTTTGAATCACCATGTTGCGAGAGAGAAGAGGAAGAGAGTTAAGTCTTAAATCTAAAGTGACTGTTTTCATATAGTTTTAATAAATAAATTATTGGTATTTGATTATAAACCAATTTTTTATTTCTTTTTAAAGATAATAAAAATTTGGCAGGTAATCTAGAGCACTTGACCAAAAAGAGATGTTTTAGGATAATTTGTAGATTGCACAGCTTCTGAACATCAAAAATTTGATACTACATGGACGACTTCGAACCACACCCAAATTTGGACAAAAGATAGCCACAGACTTTACATTTTATCTCTGAGTGATTTGAATTCATGGTGGATCAAAAGTTATGCTTAAATTATCGAAGACTGGTGAGTCTGGCAACAAAATGAAGCAAGCGGATGAAATTGGTCATGAATCAACCATCTCCAACAAAATAATATCATCACCCACCAGAGGAGCCACCATTCAAAGCTCTTAGTTTTTCATGGTTTTTGGTTTGAGATTTTGCTAATATCTGTTTTGGAGAAGAATTAATCCTTGTTTCATCACCAAGACTTGTTTTATTATCCCTATTCTCTTTCTTTCATCAACAATAATATGTTTATATATGATGATGTTGTTGTTCCTTGTTTGATGAATATGTATAAGTAGTCACATGTTGGAGGGGTTTCTAAAGGAAATTTATTGTGCGTTGGTAGATAGGTTCATGATTCCAAAGTGGCGCTTACATTGAGTAGAAGTAATTCTCTGTTTTGCTCGGCAATAATGGATATTGCTAGTCTGATCATTTGGTATTAGATTTTAGGAAATCATTCTTGCACACTACTTGATGGTTGTCTGAAAAAGTAATTGATAATATAGATTCTTAGAGTGCTAACGCCAGCTCTAAGCATCTCAGTGAAAGATCGAGGATGTTTGAAGTTGATTTTAAGTTAAAAACTCAAATCCCTAGATCAAGGGTATGAAAAGGTAGAGATGGTGCATGTGTTACATGTAGGACCGATGCAGCTTAGAGAGGCGACTACAAATTGGTAGGATTAGGATGGAAATTCTCTACTCGTAAAAACCGATTGATCTCCTCACATTCCCAAATTGAAAATTTTGTAAAATCACTGTTGATGGTAAAGAACCTGGCGTTTCGAGCCGCTCTAGACGATACCATGGCCCTCGTATACACAAGAGTGCAAATGGAATCGGATTCAAGCCAACTGGTCCAGTCAGTGACAATGTGATCCATCATCTCAGAGATCTATGGCTTTGTAGTTGATATATTAGTTGTACCAATCTATACTATTATTTGCGAAGTAAAAATCATACATCTCACGCCTACGTTTGCTCTTAACATACTTTAGCCTTCTTTTTTCCTTTATACCTATAACGAAAACCGTAATATTATTCTCGGTTTGGTGTTATTCACGGTTTATTAAATTGATTTATTTGTTAGTTTGATAAATATTAGATTGATTGATCGGTTAGTTAGATAAATATGGTTTTCGAAATCGCCGACTTATATGGTACTCGAATATATTCATTTATGAATCAAAATTAGATCATCAAACTTAGGTCGCCCTAGGTTGCCGAGTATGTATAAATACTGTTGGTTCCTGTTACAATCTAAACTCCACACCATCACATTTTCTTTGATTTTTATCTTCTCTAGGGTTCGCTTTTCTTATCTTCGATAGTGTTTATGCATTGCTTTTTTCGTATTAATTTCTCGCTTTCCTTTTTAGTGAATGTTCTTTTATGTTTATATCACTTCTCCTAACGTCCTAAATGATTCTAACTCATGCTGTTTTGTATATTCGTGCTTTTCTTGTGTAGGCTGCTGGTCAGTGTTGCTTGATCTTGTGATTCTCCGACGGGCTGAGAAGAGAAGAGAGGTTCGCGTTTTAATTCTCAAGGTAAGTTGAATGTAGTGATTTTATTTTAGGTATCTCCCTTGCGTGATCATCTTTCTTTCATGGTAAGTTTCCCTCTTTTTGTATTTCACCGTTTATTCTAGCTCATGTGTATATTCGTATTTCTCTTGTGTAGGTTGCTGGTTGGTGCTGATTGATCTTCGTGTACTACGTTTCTTCTCTTTTTCAAGGTAAGATGAATGTACTGTTTTTGTTTTAGATCTCTCTCTTGCTTTGTCATCTTTCTTTACAAGTTTGGTTCTTTTGCTTTTTTTTTGTTCATTGTTTTATTGTGCTCTTAATTTCCTTGCGGAGTAGGTTCTGATTTGGCTTCGCTGGTTGTTCTGCGAAAGTTCGATCGTCTTTCCTTTTTGGAGAAGGTTCTGGTCTGTCTCCATTGTATGTACGTTAAATTTTTTGTTTATATTTTAGGGTTTATTTTTGTCTGTGTTATTCTATAACGTTTTGTTCTTATGAAATCTGTATTGTTTTGTTGACTTCTTTTGTGTATTGACTCAACATGTTTCTATGGTGTAGGTTCTTCGTTGTTCGTCGTTGTTTAAGATACATTCTATCGCACAATCTCTTTATTTAATTTTTTTTCTTGGGTGAAGATTTATGTACTCGATGGTTTATAAATTTGTTTGTTTAATTATGTTTTTTTAATGTTTCCTCTTTGTTATAGTTTATAATTGTATATCTTTAATTGTTTAGCTTTGCAGTGTATTATAATATTTACGATGGGTTATCTTGGTTAGTTATCCGTTCTGCTATTGTTTACTTATACATCTTTTACGTGTTTATAATTTTTCATTTTGTGATCTTAGATTTGTTTTTAATTTTGGTCATTGTGTGAGAGTTTCTAATTTTAATTGTCTTTTGTAGGAACTAACCTTCTACCCTATCACCTTCTGGATGCGAATATCAGTTCGAATTCGTTGAAGTTCATTTCTTAGATGGAGTGTAATAAGGTTTATCTTGATGCAAAGCACTTGACACACACGGAGTTTCTTACGAAGTGGGTATGAAACCGAAAGAATAAGTGTTGGAAACATGAACGCTCTGAACCGTTTGACTCCTTTCATTTATTCGAGGCATGCATGATGATAATACTTTGAAATTTTTTACAATATAACTTATCAGTATAGTCTTTTTATCTTCTGTCTTTTCTGTATTCTAGATGCTAATACTATATTGAGTTCATATCAAAATGACAAAATATTATTGCTATATAGAGAGAAGAGCAATCTTCAATTAAATTTCATCTCATTACTGAAATACTAGAATGACCGATATCTCTAAAATTTGTGAGTTGGAATCTTCAAGAGAGGATTAGAAGATCAGAGTGAGGGTTTATAAGAGATGGTTTGAATTGGTGTCAGACGGTGACGATGTCCTTCATTTCATTCTCCTCGATGAACAAGTAATTTTACGCTATATCTTTTCGCTTAGTTTTAATTGTTTCAATATGAGGGTTTGTTTTTATTTTATTTTGAAAATGGGTATATATGTTCAAGGGTTCGAAGATACAAGCAACAGTTTGAAATGAGGAATTGGTTCCTTATTTCTCACAGAGACTCCATGAGGGAGGTCTATGGAAA